TAATAATAATAATAATAATAATAATCTTTTTCTTTGTTTTTATAAACTTGTCCCCGGTAAGACTTTTGTTTAATTTTTGCCATAATAAAACAATCATTCGGTCGAATTACTCAACCAATGGCGAAATATCCGCTCGAGTCCCTCAACCGTACTAATGAAATATTAACAAGTAAAATTTCACACGATTTGTGCAAGTTGAAGTCGTCTCAACATACGATTCTAGCAGCCTAGTCCCAGGCTCTCTCTCTATTCGCTGATTTGATATATTTAAATAAGTCTTAAAAGTTTTATGCCTGGGTGTGCTGTGCGGAACGCTGAAGCACCTTGAGCGGTGACGTCACACCTAGGTCTCAGTCTCGTACTACATCCACTTTTTTTCTCGCGCTTGCTTCAGAACGACTGGGACTAGGCTGCGATTCTGGTTCATTGAGACACATTGGGAAATTTACAGTGTTTCCATGCCATACCATATCATAATTAAAGCACACTGGAAACAGAAATTTATTTGTCTGATTTGAAATTGTTTAAAATTATGTTTCAAAAGCTCTTCATTTCAAAAACTCTTCAAAAAATTTCAAAAAAAATGAATAATTCATGAGGAAAACACAAAGGAAAATCATAAGCGTGTCGTATCTTTATATGTGATAGAGATTTTCCTTGATTTACATAAACTTTAGCTAACTTTGATTTTCTCGACATGCACAACGTATTTTTTGAAAATTACTTCGTCAATGAACTTACTAGATCGACACATCGTTTTTGAAGGAATTTAAAACATACTAAACTCGGCTTCGCCTCTTATCTTTATATCTGATAAAACACTGTTGCTCATGTTTTAATATATTTTTTATATCCATCTTAAGTATTGGAATATTTTGACTTACAACAATTAGCTGTCCGCCATCTTGGATTAATTCTAACCTCATTATTAACTATGGTTTTGATGACGTCAAAGATGGGTTAGCCTTTTCAATTCGAAATTTAAAATAGCAACCAAGTTCTAGTGTTTGCATGGTTCATATTAATCACTGGCAGACTGGCTGTCAAGTTAAAGTCTGCGTGACCTCACCAACACTCAAATCCTGAATAATCCAAGATGGCGGACAGCCGACTGTTTTCAATCAATATTTTTAAGGAATTAAGCTATGAAAAACCCGTAAAATGTATTTATTAATTTTTTAAAAGTTCTTTCAAATGAGTCAAAATAAATGTTTACTGACAATGGATTAATAAGACATGATTAAATCCCAGTTTCTCCCTGATTTGCGTATCCATTTTGAAGTACTTAATTAATTAGATGACCATATAAATGATCATCATTTACTTCCTCAGGACCAGGTCTTTTGAGAGCTGTATACGTCGACTGTTCATCATCTACTTGTTCACAATTGTTGAGAGGAATATCATAAATGTGTCTTGAATGACTTTCATTATTAATGGTTACCACGTTTGCTTTAGTGTTTGATAATTTGAGTCGACGATTTTGGTAGATAAAATAAGCAGTAACAACGAATGAACTGACCAGTAGAATTGCTAACACTATAATTCCAATAAGATATTTTTCAGAACCATCATCGTTTTCGGCCGTGCCTGAACCTTGACCTGAAACTTGAAATGATTGAGAAGATTGCTATGCATGTGCCAAATGGTGATTATGAAATTATGAGCAGAATTTTCCTAAGAAACGAAAATAACATTTCGATATATACATGTGTACTTACTTCCATTTGTAAAATATCCTTTATTTTCACTGAAGTTTCCATGACCAACTTTAGTACTTGCAAGAACGCGAAAATAATATTTTGTTGATAGATTCAAATTTCCAACAAGCCACTTCCTTTCACTAGTAATAAATGTCTGAAAGCAAGCACCATTTTCAGAATGCGAAACACACGCTGTATAACTGATAATGACGCCATTTTGTTTACTTGTCTCAGGGGGATCCCAAGCGAAAGACAATGACGGTGCACTTCTTGATGTGGTTCTGATGTTCAATGGAGGACCGCTCGAAGCTAAAATGTATAATTATAATGCCAATGTTTTTATTTTATTTTATTTTATTTTATTTTATTTTTATCTACCTTAAAGTAGACATTTGGAGTGTAGAAAGAGCAATGTTGTGACTTTTATATATTCACTCCTGTTTTTTTTTGTTCGCAGAAATTATATTATACTTAAACCAGTGCGAAAACATGGAAAACATTAGTTGTATTAAAGAAATATAGCGAACGCGCTTTTAGAAATCTTAGCTTTTTATACGATACCCTGCAAAACGAATAAATGTATATATTTTAGAACAATATTTCCTTGCATTCTTGAATTGGGCATATTTTATGTAACACATATTATTTAACACTCATATTCTTCAGATCTTACGAACGCAGTAATAGTCTATGGTGTCCTAGGAGAGACATCAACTTTTTTGTTTCATTTTTAAATTTATTTGCATTCAATTTACATTTAATGTATTTTTATTTTTAAAATTTATCTTTTTCTTGTTTCTATTTTGTTTTAAGTTATTTTAAAACGTTTCAACTCAGTTGGTTCTAATTTTAAAATTAATGATGTCTTTTCTCGGACATAACGATTTAAAAAAATATCCTCATGTCCGAGAAGAGACATTACATCACAGATTAAGTATGACCAGATGTGAAACTTAATAGGACTGCGTCACAGAATAAATTAAAGATACACAGAATGTCGACCGAGTAACCGCTGCCACGCCATGATTCGTCATGAAAATGCTGACGCCATGGTCTTAGCCAGTGCGCTTATGAGAGGCATCCCCCATGGACGTCCACCATTTTGAATATTATCAGGGGGGCGAATGCCTCTCAAACGCGCACTGGCTAGGACCATGGTGTCAGAATTTTGATGACGAATTACGGCTACGCCAAAATCATTGGGAAATCATAGGAAAAAAAACAAAAGTTGGGCATCTGTTTAGCCTACTCTGTGACTTCGTGTCCTCAAATTTCCCTAGATGTACATACACGTCATGCTACGCCATCATCTATGACGCCATCGCATTTGCTAGCAAAATGGCGTCCTGAAGCGCACGAACATTTGCACTTTATTGCGGCCTTTTTTAGATCGATATTTTCGGATTAAACAATCAATGTTGAATGTTTAAAGTTATTGAAAGCAATTAAAGTTGTTGGAAAGGTATTGAAAGCATTTTTGAAAGCAAGATGTATTACCAAATGACGAATTATCACGCGAGCGACACTTGATAGGAAGATGGCGACCGTGGGACAACTTCCACAACAAGTTACACATCTGTCCTTAATCTGTGATTATATCTATGTAGCTCAGTGCATTAACATGATTTACCGCTGACCAGGATTGGCAGATGAGGCGCATGCTCTCCTCATTCTCTCTGCGGCAGTTAGATCAAACTGAAAGCATGGCGGACGAAGATGAGTTCAAGAAGTACCAGAAGATTATGGCAGCAAAGAGGACAAGAAAAACAGAACGAAACAAACTTGGAAAGGGTAAAGACCGGCTCTCACCTGAAAAATTAACAATTTAGCAATTATCAGCTCAAGTTAAAGGATCTTCCCAAAAGTGTGCCAGAATGGCGCCTTTAAGAAGAGTAGATGTTTTTGGAAGACGACATGTCTGCACCACCAGCTAGTTGTTGATGTTGTGAGAAGGGCTTGTATTGCTGATTTCAACATGAAGGGGTTTGATTGTGATATACTAGAAACTGAGCGAGGACCACCTATCGAAAATCTAAACGAAGTAAAGAATTTTAATGGCACATTTTTTGTACGATTCATCCACAAACAATATACCGTCGCAAAAAATGTGCCATCAGTAAAATTCTTTACTTCGTTTAGGTTTTCGATAGGTGGTCCTCGCTCAGTTTCTAGTATATCACAATCAAACCCCTTCATGTTGAAATCAGCAATACAAGCCCTTCTTACAACATCAATAACTAGTTGGTGGTGCACACATGTCGTCTTCCAAAAACATCTACTCTTTTTAAAGGCCCCATTCTGGCATACTTTTGAGAAGATCCTTTAACTTGAGCTGATAATCCGCACTGAATTGTTAATTATTCAGGTATGAGCCGGTCTTTACCCTTTCCAAATTTGTTTCTTTCTGTTTTTCTTAATCTTCTAGTACTTCTTGAACTCATCTTCGTCCGCCAAAATTTCAGTTTGACCTAACTGCCGCAGAGTGATTGGGGAGAGCATGCGCCTCATCTGACAATCCTGGTCAGCGGTAAATCACGTTAATGCACTGAGCCTTAATCACAGATGAAGAACAGATGTGTAACTTCAGTAAAAAAGTTGTCCCACGGTCGCCATCTTCCTATCAAGTGTCGCTCGCGTGATAATTCGTCATTTGGTAATACGTCTTGCTTTCAAATATGCTTTCAACACCTTTTCAACAAGTTTAATTGCTTTCAACAACTTTAAACATTTAACAATGATTGTTTAATCCGAAAATTTCGATCCAAAAATGCCGCAATAAAGTGCAAAAAAAATTAAAAGTTCGTGTTTTTCAGGACGCCATTTTGCTAGCAAGTGTGATGGCGTGAGCATGACATGTATGTACATCTAGGGAAATTTGAGGACACGAAGTCACAGAATAGGCAACACAGTTGTCCAACATTTTGGTTTTTCCATAGGCAGCCCAAAAATGCGTGTTGAAATTTTTACTCTCTCGGGCATGCATTGAGTCTACTAAGTTTATTATTATGACAAGGTTGGCAAGACTTTTAACGGAAATTTATTACAGCGTTTACTAGAGTATGAATATTTCGCTAATTACAAGCAAAAACAATATAAAATTTACATCATTTCAAACAATGGTAATTTTACTACAGTCTCTCAAAGTTTTAACTTCAAAAGTTCATTCTAAGGATGTTAAAAAAGCGAATTATTTTCGTTTTTTTTCAAAATTTTGTCAAAACTATGATTGGGTCACGTACCCTGTGGTGATGTCATATTTTTTAAATCTTGAAGAAGCGCTGATTGGCTGTTGTGCATGATTCCAGTACAACAGCCAATCAGCGCTTCTTCAAGATTTAAAAAATATGACATCACCACAGGGTACGTGACCCCAGCATAGTTTTGACAAAATTTTGCAAAAACCGAAAATAATTCGCTTTTTTAACATCCTTAGAATGAACTTTTGAAGTTAAAACTTTGAGATTGTAGTAAAATTACCAGTGTTTGAAATGATGTAATAAAATAGAAAATATTGTTTTTGCTTGTAATTAGCGAAATATTCATACTCTAGAAAACGTTGCAATAAGTTTCCGTTAAAAGTCTTGCCAACCTTGTCATAATAATAAACTGAGTAGACTCTATGCATGCCCGAGCGCCACGCGCGAGGGTAAAAATTTCAACACGCATTTTTGGGCTGCTATGGTTTTCCTATGATTTACTAATGATTTTGGCGTAACCGTAATTCGTCATCAAAATGCTGACGCCATGGTCCTAACCAGTGCGCATTTGAGAGGCATTCACCCCCCTGATAATATTCAGATTGGCGGACATCCAGGAGGGGGATGCCTCTCATAAGCGCACTGACTAGGACCATGGCGTCAGCATTTTCATGATGAATCATGGCGTGGCAGCGGTTACTCGAGTCGACCTTCTGTATGTCTTTATTCTGTGACGAAGTCATATAAAGTTTAACATCTGGTCGTACTTAATCTGTGATGTAATGTTTCTTCTCGGACATGAGGATATATTCTTTTTAAATCGTCATGTCCGAGAAGAGATATCATTAATTTTAAAATTAAAACCAACTGAGTTGAAACGTTTTAAAATAATTTAAAACAAAATAGAAACAAGAAAAAGATAAATTTAAAAAATAAAAATACATTAAATGTAAATTGAATGCAAATAAATTTAAAAATGAAACGAAAATGTTGATTTCTCTTCTAGGACACCATAATAGTCCCTTCACGAAAAGAACAAGGTTATTGGCTATTTTGCCATGTAAGGCTATAATGGACATCTTAGGTATGTGGGAACATACACATGACTGTACTGTATGTGCAAAATCGCGGTTGCACATTTGTAAACACATTTGTGTTGTGCACAGCCCATGTTGATTTATACTATAAGTTGTAACTATCAGTAAGAACCATAGTTATACCCACGCATACCACAAGGTCCATTAAAAGGTTCCTCAGTACCAATACATTGATATTCGAAGTAAAGATAGTTTGCCGACAATCCAGGACATAGATAATCAGAGAACAAGATCTCATCCACAGTTATACTACATTCATGTAGACCATCACATTGTTTCTTGACAAGACATGTTACATCAACTTCACAACTATAATCGTCACTTAAACCACATGTCTTTGTACCAAGCAATCCACGATAAGATGCAAACTTGACCACCATGTATTGATCTTTAGGACAGTTGGCATTCTTCACTTTATCGCCATTACATGTCACTGAACCTTTAATGGAGAAATAATTGTTTTTGTATAACGAAAATCTGCCAGACTATAATATTTTTGAGAGAAATACTTTCATATATCGTTAAGCGCAATGTCAATATATTAACGTAATTACTTAAGCCAAAATGATGTTTTGATCTGGTGGATTGTATTAATGTTGTGTTTGTGTGTAGAGGGGAATTTGTGAAGCCAGTAGATCTTGATTAAATTATCATTTAGTTTGGATGAAAATTTGCATCAATTTAAAATGAAAATATATCTCGTGCATTGCTACATAAATTTATGAACATGTACCCAATAAGTAATGTGTAATTTTTTTTAGTAATTAATAAAATAATTCATGACGGCGAAAGGAGCTTGTTTTTTAAATTCCTGCTGATTTACATAAGCTTTGAGTAATTTTTTCTCCCCAAATATTACTCATATTCTTAAGATTACGTAGTAAGGGATATTAGAAATGTACAGGTTTTAACAACGCCGCTGGGACTACAATTTCTTAGTAAGTCGGTTTAACCAATTTGTTTTTACCATTACATAATTCAGTACTATTTCGTGTTGATTATTGGGTAAAGAAGTGGCGGGGAGAATGTTTGGCTAACAAGAACAAGAAACGCGAGCTAAATCAGCATATTTAGCGAGAGAAAAAGATTTTAATTAAATTAGGGATAGCGCTCAATGGGTTAAACATTTCATCGTGCAGAATGAAAAAACTTTCAGAAACAAGGTCTACCAAAATACGAAAGACTCTTAACAAAATCTTACCGAAAATATATCTGTTACCATAGTTCGCCTTCAACCCGATGTAGTAATATATTCCATAACTTTCATAAAGTTTGTCACTTCGTCTAAGATCTGCAAACCAGGCTTCAGATGAATTCTTATATTTCCCTTTGTAATAGACAGACAGGCTTCCCTCTGCGGTCTGGGTTATGGCACGATAGATGCCCTCTTTAGGCCTTTGAGCACATGCATCTCTATCTAAACTGACTGAGTCAACGTAAAGATAAAACATATCAAGATTATAACCTGAACCAGGCATATTGAATGCAGCGAGACATCCCTGTCTTTTCAGATTTAACATGGCACCATTATCACGAAAGCGAAACTGGGCAGCTGGATCCAGACAGCTGTTGACGGAAAATTCCAGAAAGAACAAGTTTCCCCAACTGTCGCTTGACTGTATTTGACCTGTGTCATTAACACAACGTACCGAGGTAGAGCCATAGTTTGAGAAAAGTTTCACAAAGAAACAAGCTGCACCTGAAAAGCAATGCAAAAGTGTGAAATAATATGGTGATATCTTACTGTATTCTCTATGCGTTTTTATTTATACTGCAAATATCAGTTTTGATATTTTCCGGGTAATCGGTTTTTCAAAACTTGTGTTTATTTCGTTCGTTTATAATAGTTACAAAAAGTTTAGGACCCTTGACCTTGCAACTTGTGTATTTTCGTAAAGCGAGAACAAATGTTGCAAATTGGAATTATAAAGTTGGTTTACGCTTTTTTTAAACTCTGGTGCCGCCTTTTTATACTCGCTCACACTGTGCGAAAATTGTACTATAAACACCTCAACTTTGACCGTGTAGGTGAGCATTTATTTACGTTATATGCCTGCTATATTTTGAACGCAAGGTGGAATCGTGAAAATTGAAGTAAGATTCTGAAATTACTTGCTCCTTCTTTGTAAACGGTACGAACAGCGAATAGTATAGGTTCCGGATGGCTTTACGTATCCCGTAGCGGCGCTAAAAACATCTAACCGTTACGGAATGTACATGTGCAACTTTCAGAAGCTGAGCAAAATAACATTTCTCCGTTGTAATAATTCCTCTGCAAACAGCGTTCCATCAGTAAAGGTTCGGATAGGTGTTTTCACGTCGCTATGGAAAGCTATCCGGTACAAGTAGTCTTAGTATGAACCAATCTCGATCACTCTTATCATCAGGGTTAACAATGCGTGATGTAAACCACGAAACACTTACCTTTCAATTGAAGGGAAACGAAAACCATTACCACAAAATGAAAACGCTTTGGAAACATCTTCTTTAATCAAGTAAATCTACTTCGAACTGTGTTGCGGAACTTATGAACGCGGAAGTTGTAGCGAATTCGAAAGCAAATATAGCAAACCAAATTTTCAGCAACTCAGCATGAAGTCTCAAGTGGATTGTGCTGCGATCGTATTTGAATGAAAAGAAAATATCTAAAGTCTTTCCAAGGCTTAATGTTTATGTCACATAATTATGTAAGTAGCACTTTTACAACTCTATGTCATATTCTATATTTATATTGACATGTGATGGTCTGGAATCCCAACAAACATCAAAGCCACCAAATAGAAAATCTTTGTTTGATGTTGGACTGTACCTCGCCGTGCACAAATCCTTTGTCTCAACTTCATTAAATATTATTCATCGTAACTGTACGGTTTATCTCAGCTATCCCTATTGGATGGTTACCTAATTATGCGAAAATACAATGAGCTCAATATCAACCACCGTGACAGTGCACAAATTAACATGAACTGATACAAGAACATATAACAAACATGGTTGATGTGCCGTTTAATTAAATTTCAAATGACGCGAACCAACAGATCACGACACTTTTGTATATAAAAAGGGCGTGTGAATTGAACAAGTCACATATTATTGGCACTGATGAAGATCCGGGCTTACGGATCGAAAGCTTTGCTGTAATAAATTTACGTGGTATTTCCACAAACAAGACTATTATATAACAGACACTTCTGTATAGATTCCAGACCATCATATCTTGATAGACTATGTCTGGGTTTAACTCTTGGTATAAGGTGGAAGCAAAAGTACATTTTTCATTTGCATGAATAAACACTGGGGAAGAAGGTGAAATCCATGCTATGGAATTTGCAATTGCATCACTAAATCCATATTGTTTCCTTGCTATATCCAATATACCAATTGCAAATTCCATACTATGGTCCATACTATGGCATTTGCAATTGGTATGAAAATGGACCATTCCCCAATTAACCAAAATTTTGATCTCAACAAGTCTAGACAAAATTCCATCATAGCATGAAAGAGCATCACAAAATTAGTAATATTCCAAAGTTTCGGTGCGAAATGTTGTAAAATGTGGATAATATAGCCTTGCGAAATTTGCAATTTTCAGTCATTTTAGATTACAAACATGAAATGGTTACCACTTTTCCAAAATTTTGATCTTAACTAGCCTAAACAAAAATTTCATGACAGCTTGAAAGAGCGTCACAAAATTAGTAATATTCCAAAGTTTCGTTGCAAAATGTTGTAAAATGCGGATAATATAGCCTTGCGAAGTTTGTAATTTTCAGTCATTTTGTATTACACACAGAAGTGGTAACCATTTCCCGTTTGTAATTAAAGGCTATATTATCCGCATTTTACAACATTTTGCAACGAAACTTTGGAATATTACTAATTTTGTGAAGCTCTTTCAAGCTGTGATGAAATTTTTGTCTAGACTTGTTGAGTTCAAAATTTTGGTTAATTGGATTCGTCCCATTGGGATATCGTTTCCCTGCTATTTCCAACGAGGATCCATGTTATTTCCATAGCAAGGATTTTGAAAAAAAAGTGAAAGCTAAGATTATATCATCTTAACTCTTTTTTTATTTTTTCTTAAATAAAGATACAAAACACGTTCATCATGCTGGGATGTTACTCTTGACATTTTTTATAGCCGGAACACATCATTAAGTTCACCTACACGCGTAAAAACGCTAAGGTTGATGCAATATTGATGAAAACAGGATTGAACGATGTTTTGCTGCCCACATTGTTCGCAGTTGTCAACAATAGTGAACAATATTGTTACACCCGATTCAGGCTCAAGAATACAGCAGTTCAATATTGTTGACAAGCGCGAACAACATGGGCAGCAAAACATTGTTCAATCCTGTTGAGCAGCGGGCTCAGCGTTTTTTTGCCGTGTACAGGACACCTTTTGTGGCTTCTGCGGAGAATCGCTATTGCGTGCTTGATATATGTCCGATTTTTATCAAATTTTCATCAAATGTTCAATGAATTATTCACGAATTTTTAAAATCGGGGTGCCTTCACGCCTCTGAGTTATGCTGATGCCGATTTTAAGATATAATTTTTCAAAATCATATTTCAGATTTTTGGAATGAATCGCTCGTAATTCACCAAATATCCAAAATTCGAATAAAGTCCGGCATGTTTTTGTAGCTGCGGAGATCCTCGATTTTCAGTTGTGGATTTAAATTTCAGTTGGGGATCAGAACAAAACTCATTCAAAAATCAGAAATTACCGAAAAAATTTAGTCGAAACAATCGAATTTATATATATTATAGCGATTTCGCGGATTGTGTTACATCAACGCCACGCTAATTACATGTAACAACTGTTGACCAATGAGATTACAGAAGAAAAAGTTATTTCGTTCGACAACTTGTTCCAGGCATATATAGAGTCATACACACTGATGTAAACAATAAATTCAAAGTGTAGACCTTCGCGCGCTTGAGAATATAGCAAAAATGTTCTATTTAATAACTCGCTGAGTTTTCAAATTGTTTCCTTCAAACTCGGTGAAATATTACTACATGAAATAGACAAGCAGAAACTCAACGTTTCGAGCGATTTAAGGCCCTTCGTCAAGAGTTAGTAGCGAAGGCCCTTCGTCAAGAGTTGGCTATACTAACTCTTGACGAAGGGCCTTCGCTCGAAACGTCGAGTTTCTGCTTGTTTATTTCAGGTAGTAATATAACCACTCAGCACAGCAATTTCACGTTGGTACTACCCACACTGGTACAGACAGTTTTAGTATGGCCAAATATTAGGACTACTAAAGAACTTGGCAAACAGAATCGAAAACGACCACTCTTCCAGTCTTCTCAGCTTTACTAACAATGCTGTAAACAACAATTTACAACTCATAATTCAATTTATAGCCTAACTGCATGGGCGGGACCGCGAGTCGTCATGTATGCCTGTCAAACTTTGTTTCATGGTTGACAGTCACTGATTTATGAAACTATACCCATGTCTAAATAGCCGGGTGGAATTGGCACCCTTGCCCCACCGGAACGAGGCCGTTGGCTAAGGGAGTAGTAAAAAATCCCCCAAATATGAAGCGTTCTTTACTGCAAACAGTGACATACTTCGAAACCCGGAACGGACTGGAAGAACATCCAGACTCTAGAAAAACCCAGACTCAGGCTCGAAATAAATCCGAACTTGTCTTTGAAAAAACCCGTACTTCACTTTTAAAAACCCGGACTCGGAATAGAAAAAGCGAATTCGAAACAAGGACTCTGTGTACGAAAATGGAAAGGTTTTTAGCAAAGGTTTAAGTAATCCCCGAGCCACGAGGAGCGCGTAGGGCGAAACCGTGGCGAGAGTACTAATTTCGCTCGCCTATTTACATCCGGGGAAAGGAAAGCACTAGCGTCAATGATCGTGGGCGCAGGGCTATGCATGGGTGGTTATCTCACTGATCTCAAAAACATAGCTGTTTGCCAGGAGTGAAGGAAGCAAAGATAAAAAGCATGCATGACAGAAAGCTTTGGACATCTTTTAACACAATAAGTTGTAAATCACCTTCAAATCTTAAAGGAAGTATGAGAAATCCTGAAGTATAGGGTAAGTTTGTTTTTACTGTTTATGTGTGACTTTGCTGTCCCGTTTTCGGTCTTGAACATGTACAGCTTTCCTTTTCATTCTATGTGAAAGTTAAAGTTTCTTTGAATTAACTTTCAAATATTTTCAAAAGCTACATCAGTATGATTTAAATTTATTTCATTTGAAAGCCGGGCCGCCGAGAGGTTGGCGGGGGCCTGGGGCAAATTTTTTGTGGGGGCCCCCCTATCAAAAATATTTTTCCGGAAAAATTGAACAACCTCCCCACCTCCCCCCGTCGCCAAAAAATTTTGTCAATGTACCATTTTAGGGGTAAATTTTTTTTCCGGAGTAAAAAATTTTCCGGACGAGTACGTTCCTATTGCTTTCCACGGACTTTATCTCATTTTTTATGCCAAATTTCAGTACTTAGCCCAAAAAACAGATATCTTGTCCTTTGCGCGGAAATATTTAACACACAAAAAAGACTGGGGCCCAAGGGGCCCCCAGCACCTCGGGGCCCGGGGCAATTTGCCCCCCCTGCCCCCCCTCTCGGCGGCCCTGTTTGAAAGTACGTCGAGTAATAAGTTGAAGAGTTTTTTGGCAAAATGCAGTTAATTTCAATGAACATTAAAAAACGAGTTTTGCGAAGCGTTTCGTGTTGAATTTTACACTAAAATAAAGCCCACGGAAAGCAAAATATCATACCTATACTTTTCATTTGTTATAAATCGATAGTTCTGTGGTTAAAGTGTATAACATTAATTTATTTTTGCCGTTTTTAAAAAAAAATTAAAGAAATAATTCTCGTGCTTCCATGGCTAACATGACGCGAGCAACGCTTGCCGTGTTGGCGTAATTAGAGTACTTCATGTTGAAACAATATTTGGAAAATGTGGGCGTGGGGTTGTTGTACGCATGTGTTTCTAGTAGATAAAATACGAGCGGCCGATCTGTATGGGCATTTACATTGTGAATGAGTAATGGCTATGAACGAACAATTTAAAGTAGCGTTGAAAGAGTCCGTTAGCTGTGAAAGAGTGGTCCTGGTGAGTGTACAAAACTTAAGTATGCCTATATAGATGAAATGACAACATATTCGTTAAACTTCTGGTTATGCAAGTTCGTAACGGAAGTAGCAAAGCAAAATGGTAAACGGTACCCGCCGAAAAGTTTGTACTTGTTGGTATGTGAATTTGAAAGGGAGGTTTGATACTCTAGTAACTGAACCTTGCTTTGTGAATCTTATGCCATGTATTTTATCTTCAAATAATTCAATGTCTTTTCATAAAGCTAAACATTGTGTTGTAAATACCTTAGATTTTAAAAATTTCCCAGTGGATATAGCATATCCCAGCCCTATACATTTAAGTACTAAATAAGTTAGTGAACGAGTTGTGGTATTTACATAAACATACCATGCAAGTACTTAACTGAAGATTAAGTCTATCTACAGTATAATGTAAGGCGCGGTATATCGAAAAATCTCTTTCAGAAAACGCACGAAATGCAGTCCTAGAGGTGAAAGAATTTTCTGGGGAAGAATGCTCCCTGGCCCCCTATTATAACATACAACACCACACCAAACATTTTGTACCAACAACCATCTGTCATCTCTTCACACTCTGTATAGTATGGTCTCTTTCTGTAACTGGCCCACACACTGACAAATTCTTAAAAAAAGACCCTGAATACATTAACTGGTTAATTATACCAACTACGTCTAGCTGTATTATATAATCATATAACAGAATTATCTACATTTAATCGCACAAAAATTCCCAGGAAAGGTCAGAGAACGAAGAACAAATTTATGTCTAATATCCGGCTGTTACGTTTTGACCATACAATGCATACAATGTAAAGTTGCACAGCGCAGACCGATTCGAAAAAATGGTTGTCATTCTTATTTCTTCCGAAATAAACCAAGGAAATCACTGCAACCTTATAGAAGTCAGTTTTACAAAATATAAATAATACCATGAATTAAACCTCAAAACTACCAGAGTTTGTACTAGATTTAGCCAACAAGGCTAGCCTCGTTTTGGTGTTGTTGCACATTTCAATGAGATATAGTTTCGCTTGCATCGATTGTTTTCAATCTCAAACTCTTAAGGCCCATTTTCACTCTATTATTCGCACCGCCGGCGAAAAATTTCGTCGGTTGACGTCATTTTCATCGCCTCCAGCAAAATTTATACTGCGCTCTAAATTTCTAAATTTCTGCGCTCAAATTTTGTCTCCGGTCGTTGAATATTTTCAACTTCTGTCAAAATTTCGCCGGGGGCGAACAATCAACCAATCACATTTCAGCAAACAAACCTTTGACTGTTTTGCATTTTCAACATGGCGAATGATTTACAAAATGATAATCAGGAAAGTTTGACTAATTTAAGTCAAGATTTTAACGCTGGAGAAGATTCCGAAATACATCGTATCGTATCGTAAAAAATTATTTCAAGACTCTAGCCTCATCAACATACATTGGTTTTCGTGAAGGGCGTCGTCAATTGAAAATACAAAATATTCACAAGAAAATACGTAGAAACAAAGATTTACAAAAGTGCGTGCTGAATACAGCAGGCGTGACCCATACATTAACATTAGTAACAGAATCAAAGAATAATATTTTGTTTGAAAATATGGATTTATCGTGCCTCTTTTGCTTCCCGAGAAAGGCTATTCCAAAGGAATTCCCTTCTCGGTTTTGGGAGAGTTAAATCAATATAGCTATTTCTTAAGTTATAGTTCGCTTGCGTTAAACTACTCCCAGTCAGTGACTCTGAAGTATGTAACGAAATATTCATGGTCGGCCAACATGAGATCATTGACAAGAACATGACATTCAGCCTTTTGTTATACGTTCAGCAAATGTTTTTCTCACCATGTTGATTTATTGAATTTTGGTCGCAGTGTAACGCGAAATATCTGACTTGCGAAATATCTGATTATTATAGAACAGCCCATGTGCAGACGATGCGCATGAATGACTTTGGCCCATAAATTTCGCAACTCAACAGACAACACATGTATTTATAAAATCATTTTGTTGGATAATATTTATACATAAATTTTCAAATTCTACAATTGATAAACTCGGAATTTACACTATACTCCCGGTTGTGAACGTTAGCATTCAGCGATAAAAAAGCTTGAATCTAAAATCTGCGAATGGAAAAAGGCAATCGAAAAGCGCTATTAGTGATATAAAATAGACTCCAGTTTCAAAGGTGATGCCTATATGCATTATATTAAGTCCCAAAAATCGTTTCGCGTTTGACCTTCTCACTATTTAGTAAGCAGCAACAATGAGTAACTCTGTAACTGACATGAGTTCGTGTATTGGCCGTTCAAATTTAGCGAAAACTTAGATTTAGCGATATTGGTAACATCGTATATGGACTAATAAAAATCGTTTCGACCGACTCGGCCGTATTTAGCAAACGTCGTGTATTTCGCACCCACGACCACACAATCCGCTTTGAAATTTAAAGTGTTTGTAATTTAAACTTAGTCTTAGCGATGTCGATTTGAAATATTAAACGAAGAGTTAGAAATTAACATCATAATTATTTATTCAAACTCTAAAAAACAGTTTCGGCCGACTTAGAATTTAGCAAGCGCCATCATTATATAGTCTGCGCACAGGCTATATATTTCGCGCCTACACGCGCGAAATTTCAGATCGCCGGTCACGCTTGGTCAGGTATTTCGCAGAGGTCAGGAATTCCGCTTGACAGCGGAAAGAGCATGGAAATTCAAATTTTCGCGCCGGACGTTTTTCTCAGCGAAATTATTTCGCCAGCGGCGGTGAAATGCTTGATTGGAAATACATAAATAGGCACCTCTGCTAAAAACCCTGTTTATATATCTGGTAATGCATAAAATATACGATAATGCAACTAATCGTGGCGGCTAGTTTGCGAATCGGTCAATGGTCAATCACAGGGCCTTTTTTAACACAGAAGCTGGGTAGGGGTAGGGGTAGGGGGGCAAATGCCCCCAATCCCCACTTGTACCCCCCCCCCCACGAAATCACATTTTGTCCCCCCCCCCAGGAAAAGTCCCTTTTTCCAAAATTTATACAAACAAACCAGCGAAGAGTAGCAAATAGATAAACGGAAAGTAAGTTTTAGGCTTCATCCTCAGTCCTTGTTTAATTAACAAAATCAATTTAAATTGTACGTTTTTCTACCACTAAGTAATGATAAATTATTGTAACTAATAATTATTATTTTTTTGGTGCGTTTTCCCCTTCTTTTACTTCAAATACAAGTATAGTTAGCATAAATTTTAGAGCAAATTTGGATGCTCAGAATGCAGGAAATAGCATTGCCGGGTTTCAAATTTCAAACATTTTCTGGGTGCTATCCCCTTCTAATAAGTAATGATAAATTACGTTTAATTTATTTTTTTTACTTTTTGTGCGTTTTTTCCTTCTTTTATTTCAAACACAAGTACAGTTAGCATAAATATTGGAGCACATTTGGATGCTCAGAATGCAGGAAATGGCATTTCCGGTTTTCAAATTTCAAACATTTTCTGCGGGAGTATGCCCCTAGACCCCCCCCCCCTATACATGCGTGGTATGTCGGCCACACACATCACACATGGCCTTCAGCCATTGTCTATCCCCCTCTATATATTATCTCACATAAACGGTCCCTTTTTATAAAATGGCCACCTCCCAGTGGAAAATCCTTAAAAAAGGACCTGGTCAATCAAGATATCGTCTCAGTTCGTTATAGAAACTTTGAAATTTTCTGTGTTTCCAGACCATTTGTTAATTAACTTAATAAGACATTAAGTTAAAGTCTAGCGTGAGCGTAGTCTCATATGAAATCGCCAAAACGAGCCTAAGTAATTAAATCCCAGTTTCCTCTTGATTTGCGTAGTCACGCGGTACTTCATTTAAATGACCATATAAATTGTCGTAATTTTTGTCTTCTCCAAGCCTTTTAAGACCTGTATACGACTGTTCATTGTCTACATGTTCATAACTGCTGGCATCATTTCTGTCAGGATTGTCATGGATATCTCTCGCATTATTGTTTGCATTTTCCTTCTCCTGCTTTGCTTGGGTGTTCGATGCTTTGAGTTGACGATTTTGATAAACCAAATAAGCGATAATAACAAATGAGATACCCAGCAAAATTGGTAATGATATAATTCCAACGAAATATTTTTCAGAACCATCATCATCTGAAACTTGAAACGATTATTATTCTGATCACCATTAATTAAAATAATGTTAAGAAAGAGAAATTTATTTGTGAATAAATTTAATCCGTTTTTTCTTAAATTTTGGATTTTCAGATATCATGACTAAACTTACTGTATACCTCGTTATAGTACCAGCAGGAATACTATTTAACCAAGTTTTAAATATACATACCTGGTGATTCGCTCGTTTTTGAAGCGGGCTCCAGTCTGTTGAGTAATATTCCCCCTGCATGGTAAAGAATGCAATAATTTATTGTTCTGGTTAGTACACAGACGATGTTATAATGTATTGTACGAAATATGTGCATGGAGTGCAGTTTTTTTGCTCCTCTTCTAACATGCAAGCAACTCCCACAGGAGAATTGCGGTAATGACAAAAACACTGCCGCCATTGGCTTCATTTATGCATAGGCAGCATGGCAGATGCGCTATCCAGTCTCAATCCTGCGATCAGTGCGTTCAACTGAAGGTTTATCCCCCAATATCATACCTTTTCATTGATAATAATCCTTTGAAAAATACTATAACTAGAGCCAGGCTTCAGGGGACCATTAAAATAATCACTAGTAGTTCGTGAAGTTGGATCATCTGTATTTCTGCCATCACCAAGTATAAACATGCTTCCATTATTACCGCTGGGTCTGACTACTGCAGTGACATAAGGTTTCAGGTAGGTTGATTTTTCTGCCGTATCATACGTCACTAACTCTTCATCTTCGTAATTGTCAGATGATGCAGGTTCTTTGCCGTCTTTCAATCTCAGAGCCACAACGTAGAAATATCTATAAATCGAAAGCAGCCTTTTTAATATAAACCTAACAATACCAACTATTTATCTGCAACACCACGAAAAAGTGAAATATACTTACACAAACGATTTTGATGGAATTTCCAATGAAAATGTAAGTGTATTTAATGTTTCAGCCATGGCCCTTTCTGCTGACCCTGTCGAAAAATGTGGACTGTGATCAAAATGTAAGATTAATTTGTTAGTATATATATGGTTCTGTGTAGGTTTTTCAAATTGTAGCGATGTTTTAGTGCTGCACGTTATTTTGTTGTTACAATCATTATGTTGTCACTCTGTAAAAATAAATTGGAGAAAAAAAGCAAAAAATAAGTTCACTTAGATCTGCACTGGTTGTTTCAAATATTTTTTTTCTTAAAGTGTATGGACTGTTTTCCGACTGATTTGGTCGCGGCTGTTGTCACCAAGACATGGTTAACAATGTGAAATAGTTTTAGATTTTTTGTCCTTGTAAGATTTTTTGTCCTTGTTAAACAAATATTTACTAATTGCAGAAGTATATATACACCCACTGAAGCTTTTATAGAACAACAATTGTCTTTGTTTCAAAACTGTGCCAGGCTATCATGTTTTTGACAAAAAATAGTTCTATCTCGTTTATCACAATGTCAACATGATATTTTTTGTATTATTATATACATGAAAAAATTACTGCAATCCGATTGGTTAAGAGGAGTGCAAATATTTCATTAATTATTTTTCTTCTGTCATCAGTGGTAAATACTGCAATTTCATTGGTTTACAGGAGTGCGATTTGAGCATTAATCGCACCTTTTCTGAGCTGTAATCGCACCCTTATCTACAGCCAATGAAAATCAGTCTAGTAAGTATTTACAACTAGCCAATCAGCATTCAGGATGCAAACTTTGAACTTTTATTTTCTTTATTGCTGTAAAAATTCTGAAAATGGAGGAATTCACAAATTTTGAAAATTTTGACCTTTTAAATTATATATTTTCTGACGAAAATGAGCTATCTGTTCTTGCAGCTGAAGACACCGAACCAGATAAATAATTAATTAGTAATAGAACGAATTAAGTCGTGCTTTTAATAATGGTAACTGAACTGAGTGGAGTGCAATTTGGACTGAAATCAAACGCGTGATTACAAAATCGCACGTCCGCGAAGGGGGAGCGTGATTTGTAATCACACTGAGTTTGATTTCAGTCCAAAATTGCACTCCACTCAGTTCAATTTCCACTTTATTATATTCATTTTGAAATCTTAAACATTTTCGTAAACCGGAAACGTTTTTGTTTGCAAAAGACACACCTCCGGTAGCTCCCTGAGTGCTGTAGGCTGTAGCATAGCGACAATAAGCGAACAAGATGAGGTTTTGTTAAATTATATTTTATACGTTCAAAAATATAAATCCTGGAAAATCGATAAAGAAATGAAGACATAAAAAACGAATAAGAGACAACACAAGTAAGTATAAAGATGTTGTAGGTTTTACGAGTGATTTGAAAGAGTTTTGATGCAGTTTTGTGCGTTTAAAATTGGAATACAATAGGGGACGATCCCTGACGCTTTAAATTTGCTTTTGTTGGCGTTTTGACCATATTTGATAGAAGATTGTGTTCTTAGTTTGCCTGTTACTATTTGTGAAATTTGAAACTTCGCAATTCTTTGATAGTTTACTGTAGCTATCCATATTAGTTTGTTTTTATGCGCAAAAAATTGCTTAATTTTAAATCATTCATGATCGACATATGTAAATTTTTTGTTTTTGCTCATTTGCCATATCACAATTTTTCTTAAAATTGATTGGATGTTAATTCTTATTTCAAGAAAATAATTACTAGTTTTAAGGATATATTATTACTTCAATCTATAGTAAGAAAATATTTATATGTTTTTACTTACCAAGAATTAAAATATTTGTCAAGAATATTTTTCATAACAAGGAATTTAGTCCTTGAAATGAGTTTTTCAATTCCTATTTCAAGATCTAGAACTAGTTTTACTTAAGCATGTTATTATTTAAATCTAGTAAAAAAGCGAGGATAATTTACTTGTTTCAAGCTAAGTTCTCTTTTCAAAACTGTATCTGTTTTCACCTATTCTTATTAAAGAAGTCCTGGTCAAATACATATATTAACAAAGATTTCTGGAAATTTTTCCATGCGGGACATTTAACCATGGACATTTGTAATTCAATACAATGCATGAGCGATTAGGCTAATACATCTTTTTTAATTATATAAAACAAGACTTATTGATATAATGATTAACGGTATTCCCCCTTACGTTTATCAAAATTGAATACATAAACTGTCTACTAATTATATAACACAGTCAAAATCTGCACCTGAACGATTGAAGTTTGTCGCTCTTGGAAACATATGAATTATTATATACAGTATGAATGTCTTGGGATATTACTTATTCGTAATTCGTTTTCAAATAAATTATCCTATACTCTGTACTAAGTATAATCACTAAGTACTTGTTTTAGGTAAACTCTTTTGCTTGGTAAGACAGAGTTTACTTGATATCTAATTTGAAGCCATGTCTAGCTTGAAACAAGAATTTTTTTCTTCCAAAGAATTTTGGATTTTGCAGGCTGTGTGAGAAATGGGAAATTTGGAACACAATACTAAGAAGAGACATATCTCGACATGTACAGTTTCATGTACTTACTTCCATTCGTAAAGAATCCTTCACTTTCACTGGACTTTCCATGACCGACTTTAGTACTTGCAAGAACACGAACGTAATATTTTGTTGATGCATTCAAATTTCCGACGAGCCACTCTCTTTTACTTGTAATAAATGTCTGAAAGCAGGGACCATTTTCTGACAGTGAAATACATGCTGTGTAACTGATAATGACGCCATTTTGCTTAGTTGTTTCAGGAGGGTCCCAAATCAAAGACAATGACGATGCACTTCTTGATATTGTTTTGATGTCTAATGCAGGACCGCTTGGAGCTAAAATGTATATGAAACAGAGGTTTTATTTAGATTTTACGTAACTTAAGTAAACATTTTAGGCCTGCATAAGGAGCCAATGTTGTGACTGCATTCACTCCTGTAGATATCGAAACGTTTTCCCGTTGTTTCGGGATTACACTTATTTACTTAAACCAGAATAGAGAGCAAGAACACGGTAAGCATACATAGTTTTATAAAAGAAATAAGAAAAATCTGTAAAACAAACTCAGAGTAAGTTTCTTAAGGTTTAAGTTCATATTATGCGTTGTGGACAACAGCATTTCGAATTAAGCCATCTGGAAAAGACTATAAAAACTAAAAAAACATCCAAATTGTTAAATGTTCTCAGCACAATATACAGCCTTGCAGTGTTGAATTAAGCATGCACGTTTGAATATGTTTTATACTCATCTTTTTAAAACTTACCTTCTTCTGATGTTAAGAACGAAGTAATAGTCTCTTCACCAAACCCAGGAAAATTTCCAGCAGCTACAGATATCTCATATGTAGTATACGGAATGAGATTATTTATTTTATATCCATTCACTTTTCCTGTGGTAATGGCCAGGATTAGAGAATTATTTTTCTTCAGTTTAATCCAGAAGCGTGACAGATTAAATATTCCTGGATATTTTGGATCTAGCCAAGATATTTCGGCACTTCTAGACGTGATGTTAGCGACAGTGAGGTTTGTAGGTTTGTCTGGTAACACAGCTAGGAAGAAAAGTACAAATTGTGATTTTGAATTGTGTAGCCTAATTAATAATTGTAAAAAGAGGATCTAAAATATGGAAAGGAAAAAGCAAAAATAAAAGACAAATACTGATTTACGCAGAATAATATCATGGTGATCCAGAGGGCTCTCAAAGACTGCATGCCACAGTCAGTTAAACTCGGGTATTTCTGCATACATTATTCCTGCATTAATTTAGAATTTGCAAATATTTCATATCCATACTGATCGATTTGTCTTTGGTTTACTGCCCGAGCTACTGTAAATATCTCCGGCCACAAACACCCTGGCAGAGGTAATGAAATGTGCGAGGGCGAGTTCATAGGAAATTAGAACCGAAGAAATAACTAGTGAATACAGTTAAGTAATTTTATCAGAATTTCAATAAAGGAAATAATATTCACGCGCACTAACTTACTTTCACCCAAAATCTCAATTTTCATACATGGTTGACCTACGTATGTTAATGGAATGAATCGTACAACTCTTGCTATAACATCAAGATTGTTCTCAGCTGCATGATAGAAGGCATTTTTGTTTCCTTGAAGTATCTACAAACAAGAATAATAAGAGATGCATCGTGAATAAGGACAGGTCACAATGATAGATTTAACAAGTACATGCTGTATGATATTATTGGTAGTTGTATCATTCTTTCTCACTTTTCTTTTCCATTTCACCAAATCAGTAGTGTAATTCATGTTATATTTGGCCACCCATTTTGGGCTGGTACTATCACCATATGTTACGACATATTCGAGCCGATACAGTCTTCCTAAGTCCACTTGAAGATAATGTTTGTCATTCGAGACAGGAGCACACCAAGAATTACCACTAGATATCCTTGCATCAGATGCACTGTAACCTGCTGAAGAACCAGAAGCACTAAATGACAAATCTGGAAATCTTGGTTTATCTTCTGGTAGTAGTCTAAAAGAACCACCTAAAATATGGAAATAGAAAGTCAACTATTCAAAATTTTAATGAACGATTCATGAATCGAGGTTGTTCTTTTGGAATTTCACATCACATTCTCCTTTAATTAAATAGTTTATATTTCTTTTATATTCTTTACTCCTTCTTTTCCTCGCATCTAAATCTAGTTTTAACTTATTACACTTACATTCTATGTATGATAACGCAGAACATCTTTTGTCGGCCCCAACATAAATTGAACACTGAGATCAGGATTTCTCCTGCTCATCACAGTATATACTTCCAGAAAATGTTGCATCTTTGGCATTCTTTGGAACGGACACACCAACAGGTTTGTATTCCCTGAGGTATCCCAGCTGACGACAAACAATGTTCGCCGGGGTAGGGTGCTTTAAAGTTTCCCAACACACATTCTTTGTCCCACTATCTGTAGTAATTTGTACAACACCTTTGTAAGGTAGAGATGAATATGATAGAGACAGCTTATGAACTACAAAAGCACGAAAAGAACAAGGTTATTTGTTATTTTCCCATGTAAGTCAATAGTGGATATCTCTGATTTAAGAAAAGTTGATTGAAACTACAAGTTGTAAACATCAATAAAACTATAGATATACCCATGCGTACCACAAGGTCTTTTGTAAGGTTTCACGGTGTTAACACATTCATATTCAAAGTAAAGATAGTTTGACAATCCAGGACATAGATCGCCAGAGAACAAATTGTCTTCCACAGCTATACTACACTCATGTAGACCATCACATTGTTTTTTAACAAGACATGTTACATCAACTTCACAAATATAATCATCACTTAAACCATACGTCTCTGCTGGAAGCAATCCACGGTAAGAGGCAATCTTGACCACCATGTATTGATCTTTAGGACAGTTAGCATTCTCCACATTATCACCATGACATGTCACTGAACCTTTCATAGAACAACAATTGTCTTTGTTTCAAAACTGTGCCAGACTATCATGTTCTTGACAATTAAAAATAATTCTATCTCGTTTTGCACAATGTCAACATAATATTTTTTGTAGAAACAGATATAATAAAAGCTAGCTTTTCAAGACGTTTCATCTATTAATAAAAACACAATGTGTACTACGCCGACCCTTTGCAGCATGATTTCGTATATATATGACATTGTTGCAAATTTTTAAATGGTAATGTTTTCGTCTGTTTCTACCAAAAATGTACCATCATCACACATTGCTAGCTAGTATTTGCAATTTTTGTTAATAATTCGTGAGAAAACGCAATTGCAAAGAACACTGGCGTGAGCAGTTTGTGTATTTGACATAAAATTGCAGCAGATTTACCATTTAATTTTTAAGTTTATTTTTACTTAATATCATTCATGTCTTTAGGATTGTGACAGAATACAAACGTTCTCATCAGACAAATCACTAGCTATACAGTGCGTTGTGTAAATAATGCGACCATTCGCCTTTGGCTTGTGTTTTTTGATCTTACATAATACATCCGATCTTGTTATATAGACAATGTTTGGTTTAATAAGAGATTGGAATGAAATCAAGAAACGAGTATTTGAATGAAGAGGAAAGACAGAATTGTAATAATTTTAAACATTTTTATAGTTTCTGTTTTAATTTTATGAACAACGTTCAGGTAACAAAGTGTCCAGGCATAAATAAGATGCTTAACAGAAACTTACGGAAAGTAAGTATTAGGCCTAATCCATGCTTCAGTGCTGTCGATAATCCAATGGATGCTTGTATTCCCTAACTCCCAGTGCCGTAGCCAGAACGATAATTGGGAGGGCACATATTCATATATTCGTGGTCACATACCATAAAAACAATTGATTTCAACAGAAATTAATAAAGCAGAACACGAATATATGAATATGTGCCCCCATTATCGTTCTGGCTACGGCACTGCTAACTTCTATAAAGTCCGGAACTAAATACACGCATTAGCTGCCAATCAGGTATGAAATGAACTCTTATCTTAGCCTTTGTATAGATCTTATATAACATGCACGGCCGCTCATTCATTTCAAATCTGGGACTACGATTTATGAGTCATTTAACTAATTCTTTTTACAGTGTATAGTACATAAATCAATTTCGTGTAAATTATTGTGGAAAAGAATTTGAAGAATGTTTGGTTCAAGAAGGGAAGGTAGCCAAATAAAGAGATTGATTGTAAAGAAAAGGTCGTTTTGTATTAATTTTAAACATTTTATTTAACAGAAAATGCGCGCGGCAACAAAGTCTTGACAAACACAATGTTTAATTAAAAACAAACTTACCGAAAATAAATCTCTGACCAGAAATAGAGCGGGTGTGGGCACATTTGGTCTTCAATACGATGATCGTTTTAAGACGTGACTGTGGGGTAGTAATTGCACACCAGGTTTGAAATGAACTCTTTTCCTTCCCTTTATAATAAACAGATAATGCTCCCTCCTGGGTCTGGGTAATAGCACGATAGATGCTCTCGTTAGGCTTCTGAGCACAAGCAGCTGTATCTAAACTGACAGAGTCAACGTAAAGATAAAACTTATCAACATTATAACCAGAACCATTCTTATTAAAAGCAGCGATACATCCCTGTCGTTTTGGATTTAACATGGCACCATTATCGCGAAATCGAAACTGAGCGGCTGGATCCAGACAGCTGAAGGAATATGTCAGAAAAAACAAGCTTCCCCAACTGCCGCTTGACTGTACTTGACCTGTGTCTGCAATACAACGTTGTATGTCATACGAATAGGAGAACACTTTCACAAAGAAAGAAGCTGCACCTAGAAAAGAATACAAAAAGAATAATAGAAAAATGTGATGGTCTCCTAGTGTATTGTCTTACGTTTTATTAAATATCAAGTAAAGTGGATTTGATAGTATTCCAGTTCTTCTTTTAAAATAAAGCGTAGCAACGACAATTGAGTAGCTAACTTATATCATCAACTTGGCTTTTCGTGCAAGCACTATATCAACTGCATTGGAAAATTGCAAGGGGTTATTTTGTACCGGATAAGGAGGATTGCAACATGGATCACAACAACTATAGACTATATCCGTCTAACCTGTTATTGCTTTTTGAGAAAGTAATATCCATCCAAACGTATGAATACTTAATTAAGCACAACCTTCTATCAATCTGGTTTTGAGCCTTTATACTCCACGTTAACTGTATCATCTAGACCGTTTTACACAACACAATGTTTGCCTAAAGCTGTCGCATTTAACCTGCTTACAACCCGTGTTGTACCTGCTTACAACATGTGTTGTACGCCTACGTTGTCGTAGGTGAGTTGTGTGCTTGATTTAAGCTACTTTTACACGCTACGATTTGTCACAGAGTAGAGACATACAGAGACGTAACTGACCGTCGTAAACACTGCGGAAGATTACGTTGTCATGTACCAACTTTTTTTCAGGTGACCGGGCGAAAAATGATCAACTGCGCGGGCTCAGCAAGTTTAAAGTTAGTCGTCATCAGGTCGTCATCCAATCGGATGCATGCATCTAGTAACTTGCCGAGCATGCGCACAAAAAAGGTGCGTACACTAGTTACGTCTCTGTCTGTCTCTACTCTGTGGATTTGTCATGTACGATTCTTATTCTGGCGTATTAAAACGAGTGCTGGCGGCATAATTCATTGCCGTTACGTTTCGTTATAAAGAAATTTCAAATGTAGCCAGCTTACGCGTGTTTGCTCAATGACATACGCCAGAAAACGAATCGTACACGATTAATCGCAGCGTGAAAACGTAGCTTTAGGCGGTACAACTCAAGTTGTAAGCGGGTCACATGTGACAGTTTTGAGCAAAAATTGTGTAGAAAAATCGACCATTAGGCTACCTGATACTACTGTAGCTACTAACCAATGGTATTTAACAAACAACCTCGTTCCCAGGCTCTTTCCTCTTGTGGAGGAAAAACCCTGGTCGGAGCTTCACGTAAACCCCCAGATTTTGGGGGTAAATTGAATTTGATCTCAGGGAGGGGTAGTAGAGGAGTGTGTTTGTTGCGTTTGGAAAATTGCAACTTTATGTGTTATAATTTCAG